AAACATATAACCTGGATATAGTCGTTTCAACTCCGTAGGTTCCAAATAGCAATCCTATCCCACAAACTTTATATGGAAAGTCTGGAGAACTATCAATTCGACACGGTTCAACTACATTCTTCAAAGTCACTAGATCATCAAGATATTCCTACTCTATCATCCCACAAATCTTCCAAATGATGTTCAAAACGGGTTTTCGAGGTATGCACGTGAACCTATATGAACCTAAATCTATATGTCAAATGCAATCATGCAAACCTAACAAAAACCCATCTATATGAAAAGAAAGAAAACATGTAAATGTAACTAATGCAAAGTGATATGCAAAAGATGAAAAAAATTTCTAAGTCTATATGTCATGATAAAATGTACCTAAACTAAATGCAATCCTAAGTAGATAGACCTGAATGTATGAAGGATCTATCCACCCCCCAGACTTGAACCATACATCGTCCACGGTGTAGACTCTCGCCCGAAAAAGTAGAATCGAAAACAACGTATGGAAAGAACCAATAAGAGGGATATAGAAGGTTTATCTCTGCGAAATTCGTTCGCTCACAATGAAGTTAACTCACGTCAAACGCAAGAGCTCTAACAAACTCTGTAAACTGGAACCTATCCAACATTGTCTCTCGAAAGTCGATGCTCATCTCTTGTGTGCCGGTGTAAACGCTCATAGAACAACAAACGTTATCCGGACAAAAGCATAATAATAGCAATGCATTCCGAAGGATCCAAAATACAATCATGGTCTCTACTACCTATGCTACAAAGAAAAAGAAAAAAAAGTTACCTAGTGCTCGGGTTGCCTCCTGAGAAGCGCTTGTTTAACGTCATTAGCTCGACCTATCTTGCTCAAACGATGGGAGGGTCTGAGAGTGATGAATCTGGAGGTCGGGGCGGTGGTCTATGCGGGTGTCTCACATACTCTGATCTCTCCACATGTGTCATCTATGCTTGATCATCTGCAATGAAAGAATAAAAAACATGTATGGGACTATTAAAACGGCGCTTACTTGTTTCTACTGGCCTGAGGATGACATCTTCTAGCC